ATATATATATATATATATATATATATATATATATATATATATATATATATATAAAAGGTTAGGGGAATCCTATGAAAAAGGTGGGTGGTGTTGTGGGAGTAAGACTATATTGTCTTAAAGCAATTATAAGAACACGAGGAATATATTGACATTCCATAGTTATCATAAACTAAAAAAAAAAATTTATTACCCCCCCTATTATTCAAAAAAAAATACCCCCCAGTTAATTGCAAAGCAATTGACTTTTTGAGTCCTTTTTAAGATGAAAAAGATATATGCTCATAACATGAATCTGGCAATCTACATTATCAAATACATTTTTTTTTTAATTCAAAACTATTAGTGTGACATACTATTTAAAATAATAATTTACTGATTTTTTAATTTTATTTTTAATTTTGCAGAAGGAAACAAGAGAGCAAATATTCGAATAATAAAAACACAAAAAGCAGGTATAGTATATATCCTCTGATGATACTGTACTTGGGAATGAAATCGACTTTATTCCATATTCTGTATGCACGCCACACCAAATAAAAGTGTCACTTAAATAAATCATTGCATACACTTTTATCAAATATGAATAAAATCATAAATCAACGTTTGTAGTAAAAAAAATTAATGTTTTTAATGTTGACTAATATTCAAGATTAAAACCAACGAATTAATTTAATGTATAGTTTGACATTCTCTACCCCTTTTATTCTTTAACCACTTTCTTATTAAATTCACAAATAATATAAGATGAGAAAAAAAATAAAAAACTATTCCCATCTCCTTTTTATAATGTGAAAAAAAAGGACCAGAATCCAATAAAAATGTTCTAATAATAATAATAATAATAATAATAATAATAATAATAATAATAATAATAATAATAATAATAATAATAATAATAATAATAATAATAATAATAATAATAATAATAATAATAATAATAATAATAATAATAATAATAGTAATAATAATAATAGTAGTAATAATAGTAATAATAATAATAATAATAATATTATGGCTATTTAACTTGCATTTTGATGTGAGTTTAAGGGGGTGGGGAGGCTTATTCTATGTTACACCGGGTATATCTTTATTATTGTTATACATATAAACACACACCAATATTGATGTTTGTAAATCAACGATGAAAAATCATCTGATATAGTTTTTACCGGGTCTAGCATAAAAATAACCGGAGAGGAGAACCCCATTTACCACCCAAAGAGTGAGCAAAATAAAATAATGATAATCAAACCCTAAGTAATATCTATTCGTTGACTTAGGTCATAACCCAACCAACAATTTAAAAGATTGCTATGACATCCTCAAATTGGGATTATGGCTGAAAATTAAACTAATCTACACGATATTCAATTTTAAAATCATTCGTTTAAAGTTTGTTTGAGCTATATTGCACTCACATATCAAGCCTAAAACACATATTTTATTCAACGAGCTATGTAGTTCAGCTCGATCTCGATTCGTGCACGGTTTGATTAAAATCCATTTGCACTCATCTCCACTAGTTATAAAACCAAGTCAAACACGATTCTAAGGTGGTGTTTGTAAATGTTTTTTGAAAGTGTCTATGCGGTTTTTTTTGCTAATAATCTGTTTTTACGTGTTTGCAAAATCAACTTTTGCTTTTGTTTCTCTAAAAATAATCTGCTTTAAGCTATTTTTTAAAAGCACCCCTAACCCTGTTTAATCTATTTAAGTTCATTTTCTGGAATATTTGCAAACACCCCCAACTTTTAGAAATAAACACTTAAAACTAACTTAAATCATAATCACTAACTTCTGCTTTTAAATAACCATTTGCAAACACCACATAAGAACTCAATAAAAATAGCAAATTAATCTAAACAATCGATACATTCCTCTCGACGCAATTTATTTACACCGCTATAATTAATATAATAATAATTATTATTATTATTTATTTACTTTTGCCCCTTTTTATCTTTCTAGATGATGAAAAGTCAGTCACTAAAAGTGGAGAGAGTCTCTCAACTTTTAAACGAAAGAATGATGTTTTCTATATGAAAGTCTGTGTAGTCCCACATAATAAAAAGTCTTGGTAAATTAAATAAATTTATGGAATAATAATTTTTTGGAAGAATAATTTGTTAATAGTAACAAGATGAGGGGTTCTTTAGCAATTAATTTAAACGCTGGGGTGTTGAATACAAAAGTACCGAATTTCCATAGCTCGTAGTTATTTCTTGCATCCTCATAATTGCTTTTTCGGCTTTAATTTTCATGTAGCGTTTTCCCCATTTATTTCAAGAGTAAAATTTGATTATAGTTATGGTTGAGACTGGATTGAATTTTGTCGAAAATTTCAATCAATCCATTTATAATGGGTCGGTTTATGGTTTCTAATATCATCAAAAGTTGGTTGAACGATAATTATCGGTCAACCAACTAACTATATTAATAAAATTTTATTAAAATATTATTTTAATCTTTAATTATTTTGAATATATATACTTTTATCAAGTTGCTATTAATTATTTTGAATATTTATACTTTTACTCCAAATTTCGGATATTCTTAAGTGAACTAGGTGATGCAAGCAT